GACCACCTCCCTTCTGGCCAAACCCCATCCTACCCCAGCTCCACCACTGCCTGGCCCTGGGACCTCTGGCAAGTGACCTGCCTCTGCGGCCAAACGTCATCTGTGAACGTGGCAGAGGTCAGGATTGTGAGAGCAACCCACCTGGAAGAGCTGGAATAGTGCTTACCCACTACCAGTTGTTATTGCAGTGGTTGCCCAAAATGGGTGGGATTTTGGATGTTTTACCTTTTCCCCCATGGGTTACTTAACACAGGGCATTATTATATCCTCTTCCCTTTGGAACGAGCTCCGGAGCCTGACCCAGGGATGGGCAGAGGTGAGGGGCCAGCTCTCACAGCCCCTGCTAGACTCTGGTCCCCACCCTCAAGCTTGGTGGCCTCTAGCAACACTCACCCGAAGAGATGGCAGGCTGGACAGCTCCCCATGAAGTGTGGTCAGGTTGTTGTGGCTCACAGACAGGTGCTCCTGGGCAGGACAAGGGAGCAGAGGCTGAGTGGCATGGGGCGTGCCTATGGAGTCTCCACCTGCCACAGCTCTGCACATTCAGGGTCCCTCAGCCACCTCTACAGCATCCCTCCCTCATGGGATGAGGTGCTTCCTCCCTCTCTGCCAGCCCTGCTTACGGCTATCAACAGCTTTCTATCATCTGCCTTCTGCACAGGCTCTGTCCAGCCCCATCCACAGGTACCCACCCTGCCTGCTGAGAGCCCCTTACCAGCTTCTGCAGCGCAGCCAACTCCTCTGGCAGGTAGCAGAGGCCAGTGCGGTTCAGCTTCAGCCATCGCAGACTGGTCATGGCCTTGACATTTTCAGGGAAGTAGCCTCCCTGGGGGGTAGTGATGGTGAGGCTAGTCTGAGAGAGGAACGTCCCTGCTCTACCACCCTCTATGGCTCCCAACTGCCCATGGAAACCTCTGGGGAGCAAAAGAGCCAACTCTATCCAGCTGTGTGACCCTGGACAAGTCACTTTGCCACTATGGGCCTCAATTTCCTCACCATAAAATAGGGCTAATAAAAGCCCCTCAGGCCCGGCTGGTGTGGCTCAGTGTCGAGCACTGACCCATGCACCAAGAGGCTGCCGGTTCAATTCCCGGTCAGGGCACATGCCCAGGTTGTGGGCCCGATCCCCAGTGGGGGGCACGCAGGAAGCAGCCAAGTGATGTTCTCTCTCATCAACATTTCTATCTCTCTCCCTCTCCCTCTCCCTCTCTCTAAAATCAATAAAGAAAAAATAAAAATTTAAAAAGCCCCTCATGACAGAAGTGTTGTGAAGAGTGACTCATTGGTAGGAAGGCTATCGGCCCACGGTCAATCTCTCTCTCACTGGACTGAGCGCGAGAGGTGGGAAGGAGCTGGCTTGTTTCAGGTGACATCCCCAGCACCCAGCTGTGTGGTCGGCGTGGCTCAAATGCCTTCACCCAGCACTGCAGGCTCTGCCTGCACTATGTGGTGTGGGGGCACCCCCTGAGACTCTGCCAAGGTCCTACCTGTGCCCCCACCCTGCCATCAGCACACAAGCCATTGTGGCAAGGTCCAAACCCCTGGGCAAAGGCCCCAGCTCCCCACCCAGCACAGGCACTGCTCCTTTCATTCTTTCATTCATTCCCCACATTCGACCTGGGCTGGTGGTCCCCTTCCCCCTGCAGCCACATTCCTGGCCAGTGACTCAGGCTTCCAGTATGGAGAAAACACATGGAGACCCTCCGTAAGGACAGTGGAGATGGAGGGAGAGGAAAGTGGTGTGGTTGCCTGTGCGTGAGGTCAAAGGTGTGTGCATATGTGGACAGATGCAGAAAGAACCTGCCTACCTCTTGGCCCTGGCCCAACTCACCCCTGACCCCAGCTGAAGTCTGGGCTCCCCAACCCTGCGGACCCAGGCTGACACCAAAGGGACCACAGCCGGAGTCCGCCCACTCACCCTGCCTTCAGCCTGGGCTGGCCTTCCTAGTACCAGGCCAGCTCGCACCTGCACTGCTGCCCTGCCTCCTCTGGCCACTGGCCCTGCCCACCTCATCCTTGACTCTAGCACCACCTCACCCACCACTGGTTGGCAGGCTAGGCTCAGGCTCTTTGTGGCCCTGGTCTATCAGTCCAACAGCTGCTACCCAGGGCCCCCCACACTCTCCATACCAACTAATCTATGCCTCCAAGAAGGTAATTTTTAAAAAGATTGTTTTTAGATAGGGGAAGGGGGAGAGAGAGAGAAAGATGGATGAGAGAAACAGGATGGATTGGTTACTCCAGACAGCGCCTGAAACCTGTGGATGTGCCCTGAGCCGGTACTGAACCCCCCCACCTTCTGGTGTAACCCAGGGCGCTCCAACCAACCGAGCCATTCCAGCCAGAGCTCCAAGAGGGTAACCTTTTTTTCCCGGAAACAGGGTAACTTTTAACCCTCTTCACGGAAAGAGAAAACCGAGGAGGCTGTGGCAGGCGAAGTGACTTGCCCAGGACCACACAGGAGGGGTGGCAGGCACAGGGCAGGGGCAGTGCGGGGGGGCCCCAGACCCCTGGGGCCGGCCGGACGCCGCGGCGCGGCAGTGAGTCAGGGCCTGCCTTGGGCGTGTGACCTCAGCGGCCAGGAAGCAGGGCCAGGGAGGCAGGAGCACAACTCGCTGACCCCTTGCCCAGGTGCCCGCGCAGGGTCACCGGGTAGGGGCTCCCAGCCCAGGCACACGCGCCGCCCGAGCCGGCCTCGGCATCCCGAGCGGGCACTGAGCGGAGGCCTAGGGGAGTCCGCGCGGGGCCAGGAGCCGAGCCCAGGAGAGCCCCATCCGGCCCCGCCCTCAGCCCCGGCGGCCGTGGGCCGGGGCGGGCAGGGCAGGAAGCAGAGGCCGGCTCGGGCCCGAGCGGAGAGACGGCCTGCAGAGGAGCCGGTCCGCCACCCGCCCGCTCACCTTGAAGTCGTTGCCGCTGAGGTCCACGCCGCGCACGAACGGCAACACTCCGGTGGCCTCCATGGCGCCGCGCTCACTGCCGGCCGGGCGGGCGCGGGGCGTGGCGGGCAGATCCTCGGGCCGGGCCAGCGCCGACCCCGCCCCTTAAACCCGCCCGCGCCCGGCGGCCGGAAAGGCGGAGCCGGCGCGCCCCTCCTGCCCAGGAGCCTCCGGGGGCAATGCGGGAAGCTTTAGGCGCCCCCGGGCCTCAGTTTCCCCGTCTGTTCGAAGACTGGAGGGGCGTCGAGCAGTCCGTGCGTCCCCCGTGCTGCGCGGGAGGTTTGGTAAGCTGCAGGCTAAGCCCTGCGCCCCCGGCAGCGGTGTGTCCGGCTCTGCAGCACCTGTCCCTGCAGCTGCCCCGGAGAGTCTGGCACCCGGCCCGCGGGCGCAGCTGCCCAGGGAGTCTGACCGTCCGCAGGGCCCTGCGTGGCGACCAGCAGTAGCAAGACGACTGGCCCTTGGGTGCAGGGGCTCTGGCCAAGCCCAGGCCTGCGCCTGGCCGGTTAGGAAGCATCTGTGACAAGCATCCTAAGGTTGTCGCCAGAAACAAGTGAACAGACGCAGGTGTAGCTCATGGCATACAGCACGCACTCAGTGAGTGGCACGTTATTATCATTCCGCTTAGAGTCAACCTTCAACTTATTTGCTTACTCGCCCGCACCCCCGGCCGGCGCCAGGCAGGCCCCCAGCACACGAAGGCCAAGCGCAGGGTGTAAGCACCGCCGTCCCTCGCAGGGGTGGAGGGGCGGGCGCTCCGGGTCCCCAGAGAGAAAGCAGGCCCCGGCCGAGGCGGCCTGCACAAGGTCACAGGAAGCAGGCGGCAGGGGCAGGTTCCTGAGTCGCACTGTGTGCTTCGAAGGCCAACAGATAAGAATGACGAGGCCACCGAGGCACTCTCGCAGAGGTGACCTAACGGGTCACCTGACCGCCGACAGCGCGGGCCGGTGCCGCCGGGCTGCCCGGCGCTGCAAGGACCCTGGGCTCAGAGCGTGCTCCCCATCCGAGGCTCATGTTTCAAGCGCACACGCGTCACAACGGGCCCCGGGGCCGTCTCATTCCACAACCCGAGGGCCTGGCCCCGCACCACCCAGCCGCGGGCTCGGAGCGCACCCCGGTGCCTTTAAATCCGGGTGTCTCAGACAGTCCCTCCCGGGGGGAGCGCGCAACCCGGAGGGGGCGTGGCCTTCCTACCATTGGATGAGTCGCGCGGTGTTTTAGAAAGACAACGCACGTCTCGAGCGCTCTGATTGGACGTAGGGCCTGCTCGTCTACGTGCGCGTCGGCGTCCGCGGCAGCTTACGGGCCTCGGCGTTCGGATCCCGGGTCCTTCACGTTCCATTCTCGGACGAGTCCGGGGTCCGGGGCCCGAGTGGACGCGTTGCGAACGCCGGTCAGTGCGCTGACGCCCCGACGCAGGTACGGCCGGAGCGCGGCGGCCCGTCCCGGTCGCCCAGCCGCAGGCGTGGAGCGTGTCCCGGACGCAGGCCGGGGGCGTGGCGGCGGAGGGGTCGGGGCCGTGCTCCCGTCTGGGGCTCCTCTCTCAGTTGCCGGAACCTCGGTGCCCTCCCCCATGAACCGGCCTCGACAGGCTCCGGGAGCTGCTGCGGGCCCGCTCAGCCCGGCCCCTGGGCTGGGCAGAGGAGGGAGCACAGCTGGCCTCCCAGGCTCCGTGGGCCCGGCTGCGCAGAGGAGGGTTATTTTTAACCCCCGCTCGCTCTCCCGCTTCCCGGAGTTGGAAGTGTGCGGGTTGGGGCCTGCGTGACCCCGCTAGGGGCAGGGTTGAGCCCCGGGTTAGGGGTATTGAAGGCCGCGTAGTTTGTAAAGTGAACTCCTGGTTTGGCTGGAGGCGGGTGGCAGCCGCTGGGCTGTGGCGGGCACCCTGCCAGCCTTTGACCAACTCAGGCCCCAGAGCCTATTTTGTTTTATTATTATTTTTTTAAATCCTCACCGGAGGATATTTTTCCCTTTATCCTCAGATAGAGTGGGAGGGAGAGAGAGACATCGACTGGCAGCCTCCCACACGACCCCAACCAGGACCGCGATGAGCTGCAACCGAGGTCCGTGCCCTTGGCCGGAATCGAACCCGTGACTCATTGGTCCGCGGGCCGACGCTCTAACCCCTGAGCCAAGCCGTCCGGGCCCTAGAACCTATTTTATAGTCTGGGGGTGGGGGCCGGGGCAGAATTCCCAAGAGGTTCAGGCTTCAGCTGCTCCGGGCATCTCCCTTTGGCTGCAGCTCTGGGCACTCACAGCCAAACAGGAAGGGCAGACATCCTTGGCACCCTCAGAGCTGGCTCTGAACTCAGGGTCATCTGCTCGGTGTCCTCAGCGAGGCAGGTCTGCTTGGTGTCTGACGGGTCCCCTGAGCTTGCCCCTTGGTCACACACCCCCTCAGCTCTCAGGGCCAAAAGGCAGGAGTCCCTCTGGAATAACCTGAAGCTGGGGCTTGGTGGATGGAGCCCTGGGAGAGGTCTCTGCCTCCACTTCCCAGGGCATGGCCCCACCCAGCCCCACCATTCTGGGCTCCTCACTTCTAACCCTCCCTGCTGTCGGCCACTTCACAGGTGAGCAGAGAGCCAGGCTTTAGGCCCTCAGCTTACCTTCTCTGCTGCTTGGGCTCCCCACAGCTGAGGACAGCTCCCTGTCCCCACTGTCCCAAGCGCAAGAGGCAGAGAGAGGCCCCAGTTGCCAGGCACTGGGCCAGTCCTGTTTGGAGTGTTCGTGTGTAGTTACTTTGCCCGCTGTGCTCACAGTGGGCCTTTGGCCTTGACTGGCACTTGGGCCATCTCGCTAGTCCTGTCCGTTGACTTGATAGCTCTGCCTCTGGGGCTACCCTGTCGAGATGAGGTGACCAGAGCCTCACGGAGATGCTCCAAAGGTCTGAGAGGCCCTCCAGGGCAGGCTCTCTAAGGTCCCATGTTGTGGTTTTCACTCGGCCCTGGCTAAGGACCAGGATGAGGCAGCCTCCAGGACCTGACTTGAGGGCCAGGGGACGGATGGGACTCCAGGGGTGGGTCGAGCCTGGAGGCTTTGCTCTTTGCTGTCGTGGGTCCAGGTATCTACTACTCCCTGTATGGTTCAGCAGCCTGTTTCTCTGTGAAACTGGGGTGATCATAAGAGCCTCCTCATGGGTTTCTGGTGACGTCAAATCCTGGAGGGGAGGGTCAGGGAGATGGGCCCCTGCTCCGACCTGCCTTAGGGCCTTTCTGTGTGAGTCCCTCTGTCCAGAGGTGGGTAGGTTGTTTGCAGGTTTGGGGAAGGGGGCTTAGGTAGTTCCCTTGCTTCTCACCAGAAACTCTGAATGGCTGCTTTCTCCTGAAACTCTCAGGAGCCGCCTTGTGGGCTTGAGCCAGCGCCCCAGCATGATGGCAGCCAGAGTGCCCCCCACGCCTGCCCCGTTGTCTACCTGGCTGCCCCCTCTTCAGGTCCCTGCATGCTAGCTCTCTTTCAGACACCCAGACATGGCAGAGTTCCCACGGAAGCAGGGGAAGCGGCATGAAGAGGATGTGCTGAGCAGCGCTGTGAACTTCCTCCTGGCCAACGCCCGCCTGGTGCTGGGTGTGGGCGGGGCTGCCGTGCTGGGGATCGCCACGCTGGCTGTGAAGCGGGTAAGGCCATGCTGGGCCAGCTACACCTGGGCTCCTGAAGGAGGGTCACGGGGCTGGGGCCTGCAGTGGGAACCTGGGAGGTAGTGTGGGGCCTGTCCATGGCTGGCGCCTGCTACTCCACCCAGCAGTCTTCTTTGCTTTGCCCTGGGACCTTACTGTGTACCCAGGCTTCATGTGCTCTGATCTGTGCCACTCTGCCACAGCTCATTGACAGGGCTACCAGTCCTCCGGACGAGGATGATGCCAAGGCAGACGCCACAAGCCTGGAAGACAGCTGGAAGGACCTGAGCCTGCTCAAGGCCACGCCACGTGTCCATTCCCGGTCCTTACCTCCTGCCCTCAGCCAGCCTGTGCTGCTCCCTGCCCCCTCACTGTTTGCCCCAGGTGAATGGCACCCCTTCCCCTCTGACCTGGGTGGGTCCCCCTTTGGTGATGCAGCCCAGGCTCTGGCACTGCCAGTCACCTGGCCTATGCCAGTCCCGCTTTCTCCTGGGGTGTGGGCTCCATGCATGTCTGATGGTGTGTTTTCTGCCCTCCTGCCAACCACTGGGACTTGTGGACTTTGGGGGTGATATTGCAGGGCAGTAGTCTTATGACAGTGGGGGGCCTCAGATGGGGAAACTGAGGTCCAAGATCCAACCTGCCACTCTGTACGAGGCTGTTTTGGCTGCAGCGAGTTGGGGATCCAGGGCAATGAGAATTTGTCGTCAAAACCTCTTTATACTTGAGGACTTGAGCTAAGGGCTCTTTCTCAGCTGGTCATTCTGCAGGTGAGGAAAATGAGGCCCAGGGCGGCACACACCTAGTAATCTGGTAGTTCTCTCGGCTCGTCACAGGGCCTTCTGACGTGTTCCCTGGCCCTTTCACTCTGCAGAGGGGCCTGCAGGTGCTGACCCTCAGCCATCTCAGCTTACCTCCCCAGGACCATTGTGCCTGACTTTCCAGGAGAAGCTATTGGCATTTGAGCGAGACCACGTGAGCATCCCTGTGTCTCATGTGGCTCTGGCCAAGCAGCTGGCGGGTGACATTGCCCTGGAGCTGCAGGCCTACTTGCAGAGGAAGTTCCCGGAACTGCCTTTTGGGGCGCTCGTGCCCGGAGGGCCGCTCTATGACGGCTTGCAGGCAGGGGCTGCTGACCACGTGCGTCTCCTGGTGCCTTTGATGCTGGAGCCTGGCCTGTGGAGCCTGATGCCTGGCATGGACACTGTGGCCAGGGACCCCCGCTGCTGGGCTGTGCGCAGGACTCAGCTTGAATTCTGTCCCCGTGGAAGAAGCCCCTGGGACCGCTTCCTAGTGGGTGGCTACCTCTCCTCCCGTGTCCTGCTGGAACTGTTCCGCAAGGCACTGGCTGCCTCCGTCAACTGGCCCGCTATCGGCAGCCTTCTGGGGTGCCTGATCCGGCCCAGCGTGGCCACCGACGAGCTGCTGCTGGAAGTGCAGCACGAGCGTCAGGAGCTCACAGTCGCCGTGCTCCTGGCCATCACCAGCGCTGACACTGAACAACGTCTCCTGGCCTGGCCCCGGGAGGGGCTGGCTGGGAACTTCTGGCTGCAGGACTTATACGCAGCAGAGGCCGCCAGGCTGCAAGCTCTGGATGAGCGTGATGGCGGGACCCGGCGGCGGCTGCTGCTGCTGCTGTGTGGTGTGTGCCAAGGCCATCCGGTCCTGAGACGACTGAGCTGGTGCCACCTGGCCCAGGTGGTGCTGCGTCTGGGAGAGGAGGAGGTGGGCTGGGCCGAGGCGGCCTTGGGGGAGCGCTTCCTGCAGGCTGTGGAGCTGCTTATCGGCAGCCTGGAGCAGGCCAGCCTGCCCTGCCACTTCAACCCCGGTGTGAACCTGCTCGACAGCCTGCGCCCCGAGGAGATCGACAGCATTGGCTACGCTCTGTACTTTGGCCTGCAGGCCCCCGAGGGGCTGCTTTGGGTGGGACCGGGCAGGCAGCATGTGTTTTGACGCTGGTGAGCCGCACACTCCCCCTCCAGGGAATTGGAGAGCACTGTTTCGCTTTTAGGCAGGATAGAAGAGGTGTGTTAGCTCAGCCCATGGGGTTAGTACAGGCAGCAGTGGCTGGAATCCTGAGCCCAGAGCTGGGGCTGCTGTACTGGAGCGAGGCTGCTCTGCCTCTCAGACAGCCTGCATTCGGCCACACACACGTCCTTTGTCCCCTGGGCCGACAGCGGGGCCTCGGGCCTGGTCCATCATCACCAGCAGTGAATCCGCTGTCCGAGGCAGGGAGTAAGGCCAGCTGTTTTTCCGTGGGGAGGGTGAGGTGCTTTCCTCGGGTGCCAGCTCCAGGCTTCTAGGCTTCTGGTGCAGGGTGATACATGCCACGTGTTCATCCTCCATGGCCCGTGTCACCTGGTTCCTGCGGAGCGCAGCTTTTTGGCTGACTTAAAGGCTGGTGGTCTCCGATGTCGTGTGTGGTCTAGTTTGCTTGTCGGGCTCTCCCCCAGCCTAGAGCACTGCCCACCTTATACCTCTGGGGAAGGCCCCTTTCCCTCCAACCAGGCGGCTTTCTCTTCGGGCAGTGGAGGGCCTGGGGAGAGCCTCTTCCCACTGGGGTTGCTGACGTTCTGTGCTGTCTGTCCAGAACCAAGTGTGTCCCGCTAGCTGATGCTGGGCCGGCTAGAGAGCGGAGGCCCGGCACTCCTGGGAGGCCCGGCGTGCGGAGTGGTCTCTGCAGGGCCAACACAGACAGCTCTCAGCTGACCTGTGTTCTCACTGAAGCCTGCTGGAGGTGGGCGGGCAGGAAAGGGAAGGTCTGCCCCCTCCCAGGTGTTCCTCCTAACTTGGGTAGCCTTCCGGCTGAAGCAGGGCTATGCCTCAGATTGTGAACGAGAATAAAAGGAAAGACAAGCATTCATGTGACTCAGGCTGGGCTCGTCAACAGCTGTGTGGCATTCTGGACGCTTGCCCAGAGGGGCTTGGACTCAGCCTGGAGGGGGTGCGTCTTAACTGGGAAAGGTTATGTGGAGGGAGAATATTCCAAGATTGCCGGTGTGATGTCCTGCTTCTGTGATGGGAACCGACTAGGATTTTGTTTCTTCCTGAAGCCTGCATGTTTTAGCTCAGAGCCCCTGTGCTTCCTGGGATGGCCCTGACCCCCCTTTGATGCCAGGATGGCTCAATCTGAGTCAGGTGTGGTCTTACCCAGGGTCTGAGTAGTCAGATACTCAGTTGTGGTGGTAAAACATGGCAGCCTGTGTTCTGCTCTTGGTTTAACTTGACCGAGTGACCCAGGCCCGCCGTTGTGATGACCGTGCCGCAGCAGTGACGCCACCTGCGGAAGGAAAGCAGAAGCAGATAACACTACCACGGCAACGGAGACAGGGAGCTACAAGTGTGAAATGTCACCCACGTAACTCAGTGTATCTCACCATATATAAAACGCACTGTGTGGAGTCACTTTTTTTTTTTTAATCCTCACCCGAGGATGCTTTTTTCATTTTTAGTTCAGATAGAGTGGGGGTGGGGAGAGAGAGAGAGAAAGAAACATTGACGTGAAAGGTACACAGAGTGGCTGCCACCTGCATGACCCAACCAGGGCTGGGGACAAACTGCAACCAAGGTACGTGCCCCTAGCGGGAACTGAACCCGGGTCTCTCTGGACCGCAGGCTGACGCTCTAACCGCTGAGCCAAACCAGCCAGGGCTAGAGTCACTCTCAAGGATGTCTCCTCACCTTTAAGTACTTAGCTGCACAGTACTCTACCCATAGGGGTACCGGTCTTTCTGGAGCCCATCTGCCCAGTTGTTTGTCTTAAGCCCCAACGAGTCCATGCACGCGGCTCTCATCAGATTCCCGGGAAAGGGCACGCACTCAGACCTTCAGATCCTGGAAGATCCTGCCAAACTACCTTCTGAAAGGATGTCAGCCAGCACGCAGAGAGTGGCCCCGAGCCCCGAGCTGAGTGTGAGTGGAGCAGAAGGGAACGGGGCTGTGTCTGGCAGACAGCACGCGGCTACAGTGCCCGCCTGGCGCCCAGCTTACGGCCGCTGCCTCCTTTCCTAAGCTCTGCCTGCCGGGGGAATGGAAGTGTGGTTCCTGCTCCCAGGAGCGGTGCACCTGGTGCACCTGAGGAATGCCAAAGCCAATTCAGCTCAGTGCACCTGAGGAATGCCAAAGCCAATTCAGCTCAGTGCACCTGAGGAATGCCAAAGCCAATTCAGCTCAAGGACCTTAAGGGGCCAGAATCCACCTGCAGACCGGCTGCCTCGGAGCCGGGGTACAGGCCACACGGGAAAGCACTTCCTGGCTCTTGCTCCAATGGGCCTTTCCTCTGAAGACCAGGACCTAGCTGGCTGCGGGGCCAGGCTTGGAGCCCCAGAGCAGGTAGAGCTGCAGGGGCTCTGGAGCAGGTCTTAACCTCCTCCAGGTACGGGAAGGGTGTGGGCCCACGGCCAGGTACAGCTTACTCCGAAGCCCAGTCCAGGGCTACTATTCCACTTTTGCCCTGTTCTCTCTAAAACAAGGGTCTTCAACCTGATACATGACACTTCCAAGAAAAAAATTTTTTTTTCCTTTATTGATTTTTAAAGGGAGAGGGAGAGAGAAACATCAATGAGAGGGAACATCGATTGGCTGCCTCCTGCATGCCTTCCACTGGGGATTTGGCCACAACCTGGGCATGTGGGAATTGAACCGGTGACCTCTTGGTGCATGGGTTGACGCTCAACTACCGAGCCACACTGGCCAGGAACTGATCCATGACACATTTGCATTTTTCAAGAGTATAATTTTCTAATCAGAAAATTCAGCTTAAAAAAAACCCAAATAGCCCAGCCAGTGTAGCTCAGGTTGAGTGTTGACCCATGCACCAAGAGATCTGAAAAACGCAATGTGTCATGGATCAGTGCCCGGCCGGTGTGGCTCAGTAGTTGAAGGCTGATCCCAAGTAGGGGGCAGCTTCTGGATGGTTCTCTCATCGATGTTTCTCTCTAAAAAATCAAAAATATATTTAAAAAATAATAACCCCAACGACATCACAATTTGGATGAACTTAATTTGACGAGGAAGCTAGGGTGTAGTGGATGAAACCCAGTGTATCCCAAAGGCCAACACAAATGACGCTGAGGATGGTGTTTGGGGTCGTTGCATGGCCACCGACTCACTAACAGCACAGTTGAATTGGCTGGGGCCTCACATGCAGGAAGGCTGGACTCTCGGGCTCTGTGGCTGTGATTTCCCACCGAACGTCCCAGGCTACCACCTCCCAGCGTGAACACGGGTGGCCTGAGGCAGGGTGGCCAGTGGGAGTGAGTGGCAGCACTCTGGCATGCTGGTCGACCCATGCCCTTTGTATTCTCATCAGAAGTCCTTGGTTCTGAACAGCTTCAGTTCTGGGCTGCAGCAGGCCCGGGAGTGAACTCGCCTGCGGGTGGCAAGGTCTCCTCCCTGTGGCCCAGAGCCGGGAGTGGCTGGCTGCCAGGGTGAACAGCGCTTACTGTTTCAGCTTCCAGCTGCTCCAAGAGCAGTGAGCACGAGCCAGTCTTCCCCAGCCAGCAGCGTGCAGGATACCCCTCTGGCTGGGGGCAGGAAGAGGTGCCATGGGGACGAATAAGGGGCAGGGCCAGACTTCCTCTTCCTGGAGGACCTGCAAATGGCTCTGTGCAGCAGGGAGAATGCTGCGAAGTCTGCGAGCTGAGGTGGACGTGGAGGCAGAGACTCAGCTCCCACGTAGCTGCCTGCTGGGGAAGGCGTCTGCTCAGCTGAGCCCAACTTCCCTTGCAGGAGGCTGGGAGGCTGGGGAACGCCGTGCGTCTGTTCCGTGGCCGGGTTCCTAGTCGCAGTCCGTGGCTAGGGCTTAGTGAGTGGGGGTCGTTCTAGCCTCAGCCTGCTCGTACAAGCTGTAGATGGGGTTCGGACCTTCCCAGTCCATCGGAGGCCCAGTTCTCGGGGTGCACTGAGGGCTGCTAGCGAGTGAGCCATGGGCAACTCCCTCATAGGCTATTCACAGTGCTCACTGGTCAGGCCTGCACCTCCACCAAAGCGCCTCATCGACTGACACCGTGTTAGACGACACTGCTCAGGCTGTGGTGAAGGCCACCACCGAGGCGTGGGGCGCCAGGACCTCAGCGGGTTGTTGGCAGTGCAATCCAGCAGTTCTTGGTCTTGGCACACATAGGAGTTAGCTGTTAAACCACAAATGCATCTAATATCCAGAATCTGTAAAGAGCTCCTACAACTCGACAACAAAGAGACAAATTCAACTGAAAATAGGACAGGAGACTCGAACAGGTAACAGTGCAAATTCACACAGATGGCCAAAAAGCACATGGAAAGATGTCCAACATCGATGGTCATTCGGAAAATGTAAGGAAGTACTGGTAAGAATGTGGAGACACAGAACCCTCGTGCGTTGTTGACGGGTATGGAAAATTTGATTAAACAGAATCACCATGTGACCCAGCAATTCCATTCCTGTGTACATACCCAAAGAACTGAAAACAGGTGTTCACCAATCAGAAAGAATATATGTACCCCCATGTTCATAGCAGCACTATTTACAATAGCTAAGATCTGGAAACAGCCCAAATGTCCATCAGTAGACAAATGGATAAAAAAGCAGTGGTCCATATACACAATGGAGTACTATGCAGCTGTAAGAAAGAAAGATCTCTTATCCTTTGAGACAACATAGAGGTACCTCGTTTCTAAGTGCAACAAGCCAAGCAGAGAAAGACAAATATCACACGATCTCACTTATTTGTGGAATATAATGAACATAACAGTCTGAGGAATGGGGTAGTCCCAGAGACGTGGAAGTGAGGTACAGACTGACAATCTCCCAAAGAGGGGGTGGTGTGGGAGAGATAAACCACAGAACTTACATGCATGTATGCATGAACAATGGACATGGACAACAAAGCTGGGGACAGTGTGAAGAGGGATGGGGAGGGGGTATCAGTGGGGGAAAAAGGAGAAACATCTATAACAAAAATTAATTTATTAAAAAAACATCTCGAATCTGAAAAAAAAACAAAACAGGTGTTCAAATACACATGAATGTTTATAGCAGCACTATTCACAATAGCCAAAGGTAATTAACACGAATGTCCGTCAGCTGATGAATGGATGAACCTATTGTAGTCCATCCGCACAACGGAATATCATTGCCATATAAAGGAACGGACTGACATGCTTCTTCGTGGGTGAACCTTGTACATCACTGTCATGTGAAAGACGCCAGACACTAGAGGTCACATTCTGTATGACCATTTGTATGAAATGTTCAGAACAGGTATAACCAGAGACAATATGGACTGTTGGTCTTCCAGGCTGGGGGGCTGAAGCCCCACAAACGCAGGGCTGTGACCCATACCTGTGACCAGGTGCTCCTGGAGCAATCCCAGGCATCTCTATGCACTTATGAAAACCCCCCATCCTGCCACGTGCCAGAGCACAGAGCTGGCGGTCTAACTGAAGGGTGTGGGGCAGGGGTCCCAAGATGGAAAGGAAATCCATCTGTTCACCAGGCAGCGGCATGGCTCTGGACAGCTCACACGATGTCTGCTCACGACAAAAGCAGCACGGTGCGCACTGTTCTCAGCGTCCTGGTAAGGGAGATGAGCGTGGCAGCCTTTGGAGAAGGGAGGGGGCTCTAAAATCTTACACCGCTGTCTTCTCTGCAGGACAGTTGGTGGGCTGCAAGAAGCTGGGCTTAGCCCTCTACCACTTGCCACATGGACAGGGAAACGGGGCAGGGGGCAGGAGGGGAAGACCACGAGGGCCAGAGGCTGGCAAGAGGTCCCTTGGACACTGGCAGGCATCTATGCCCAATGCTCCTGACACATTCACCAGACCAACCAGGGCAAAGGGGTAAACATCTTTATTAAGGCAAACGAGCAGGGTGTGTCCTGGCCACTGTGGCTTCTAGATGAAGATGAATAAATCTTCTGTAGACACTATTTTAGAGCGAGCCACTTCCTTGCATCATGCCCTCCCCCCTCTCAGGGTGTCTGTGGACAGGAGCCCCTTCCTGGCTGCCAGAGCCTGTGGGGGTGCTGGTCTCGAGGAGGATGCCCTGGAGGCCACAGCTGCAGAAGGCACCACCCCCAACGCTCCAGGCTCCAGCCCCCAGCTTCTCCACACAGTCCCTGGCCCCAGGGAGCAGCTTCTGTGATTCTCAGCAGTGCCATGGTCATTCCCAAGCCCCAGACTGAGGGCCTCTGTCCACCAAGGTGACTCCGTGGAAGGGCAGTCTGGACTCTAGGCCGGAACACAGGCCGGCCAGACTCAGAGAAACCCCTTCCCCACACCTCCAGGACAGTGAAGGTTCTGGTCCGGGGTCAACAATTCCCTGAGACAAAGGGCAGGTGTGCGGAAGGGGCCCCTGCCCTACCCCACCCTCATCTGTTCTGAGGACAGAAGGGACGGGTGTGTCCAGTCTGGTGGCAGAGGCTGCATTTCCGCGGCTTCTTGGCCGTGGACGCCGGGTCTGAGGAATTGGCTCGTGCTCTCTTGCTTCTGGACTCCGGTCCGTGGGTGTTCCCTCTGCCTCCTGGCCAGGGTGCGGCTCCCAAAGTCCCTGTGGAAGAGTCAGGGGAAGCCTGACTTTAGAAAGACACAGCGATGTGGAAGGCAATGCAGTTCCAGTGCTGGGTGGGGTGTCCCCCAAACCGTGATGTGGTCACAGCCACCCCGCAGGCCAGGCTCCCTTCACTCCGAGTCCCTGAAGGCCTCGCCCCCCTCACGTCCCGGAAAGAGGGCACTGTGGTCACACACACCTCTCTACTGAAGCGGACACCAGCGAGAGGGCCCGAGGTCATGTGGAGAGGGAGCAGACAGGAGGGCCTGTGCCAGCCACCTGCCCCCACCCCACGCAGAGAAATCCGTTCTGGATCCACCTAGCCCTTCAACAGGCCTCGCGGTGTGCCTGCCTGCCTGCCTGCCTGCCTGCCTGGGACGACTGGCCAGTAGCCTGGGGGCTGGACGCTACTTCCTTTCAAGGAGGGGCTGCATGTCTGAGCCACCGTCCCCACTGGCGCGGGCAGCCCGTCTGCTGAGCCTTCTGGGTGATTCCTTCCGGGCAGAGCTGGCGATGGGTGTCAGAACCTCAGCCCAAACCTAGCTACTTCACAAAACGACTTCGGATACAGACAGGCAGGTGCCCGTCTTACTAGGAACAGGCTGAAGCCAAGTCATTTGTTCAAGGTCAGACAACGGGCTTTGGAACCAGCTGTTTGGTTTTTGACTAATTCTCACCTAAGGATATATTTCCACTGATTTTTAGAAAGTGGAAAGGAGGCAGGAAGGGGGAGGCAGGAGAAAGAGAAACATTGATGTGAGAGAGACAGCGACTGGTTGCCTCCTGCATGACCCCAACCAGGGCCGGGGATGACCCACAGCCCAGGTATACGTGCCCTTGACCAGGAAATCAAACCCATGACCCTTCGATGCACGAGTCGGCACTCCCACCACTGAGCCACGCAGGCAGGGCTGGAACCAGCTCGGGATGACAAAGCTCCCACCAGGCCTGTGGGCGTTCGCAGATGTTTAATGGAGCTTCTCCTGTGACTAGAGTGGACAGGGACCCTTTCAAAGTGGTCAGATACATTCTCCACCTGGGTGCAACGTCCAGGGCAAGTTCTCACATACCCGTTTTGGGGTGCCAGACCCAAGGTGTGCATGTAACCTTGGGCAGGTTCCCAGACACATGGTAGCCACCCTCTAGCTTGGAACGAAGATGGTGTCATTCACGACCTTGCTGAGAACAGTCACATGGGAAGACAGAGCCAGGCGCCCGCTCACCCTCACACTCCCACCACCACCTTGCCCTGCCTTCTTGGCCCGTGGGTCTTGGGCGGGACCCGTGTGCCACCCGCCCAGCTGGGCGCCCCGAGTGCTCACCTGGGGCCACGTTCTCGTCCGCCCACTGAAAGAAACCGCACTGCTGCTCCCTTGGCCTGGCACAGGTGTGGAACTGGCGGCCCTGGTTGGGCCCGTCCTTCTGCACAGTCCGCGTGACGGCGGCCTGACTGCACAGGCAGGAAGTGCCACCACCAGCGTTGTCACCAGGGCTACCAGACCCGCCTGGGTGGTCCCCAGAGCCTGGCGGGCGCCGCCCCCCCGGGTGTCTGGATGCGGAGGAAGGAGCCCCCGCCTCCGGACGGCTGCTGCTGGCCCACAGGAAGAAGCTGCAGCTGCCACCAGGGCACTTATAGAACTGCCGGCCCTGGTTGGGCCCCTCCTTGCGCACAGTGAGCAGCACAGCCTCCTGGCCACAGTTGCAGGTCACAGAGTTGCCCTCCCCAGCAGCGGTGGGTGGTGGCGGGTTCCGGGCCAGAGCTGTCAAGGGCCTGGTCGGCCTGGTGTCGAGGGGCTGGGGGTGGCTCTGCTGGCTGCTGTCCATCCTGTTTAGGGACTGGCTGGCTTGCAGGTAGCCCGAGGGCTGGTTGGCTGGGGGGCCCGCTCGGGGGGGGCCCTGGGAAAACCGCAGGTTCAAGATCTCCCTCAGGGTCTCATCACATCCACCAATGCAGCCGATGAATTCCAGAGGCATGGCTGGGGGGAGGCTACCACGTTTAAACTTCAACTTCAACCTAGTGGGGCCAAAGACAAGACGACATTTACTGCCAGGTGCTAAGGTCTCCTCCTTGGTCTACAAAGGGCGGCACCTGCCTGAGGCCCCAGGGAAGCACGACTCAGAAGCCTCTGCCAGGCCCGTTCCCTCTACTAGCCTTCTGTGTGCTTCGAGCCTCGGGGTCCGGGCCCCTTCGAGGTGAGGGCAAAAGTATTTTGTGACAAGGCTCAGAAGTTGAGCTTGTGCTCTTGTTCTTCCAAGCACGGGCAGGGAGTTTCCCAGGACTGCAACACTGTGGCAGCAGAGCGAGCGTCCAACTGTCTTCCTATTCAGCCAGACATCAGACTTGCAAAAATGGAGAACCATACATTCTTTTTTTTTTGCTTTGGAAAACAGGCATTTAGCTTAAAAAGATGTTATTTACATTACTGTGCAATGCGTGTTACAAACAAACAAGCTAATTTGAGAAGACATCTCCACCTCACCTCGGAACATGGTAAAAACACTGATGAACATACAATAAAGCCCGTTGGGTCCCTCAGTGGTTCCTACAAGCGGAGGGCCTATTGCTAACAGGCCTGAGGACAGGCCTGCATGGGAGCCTGGGCTCTGGAAAGAACGTGGAGACTACACTCAATACACACATGCTCTGGCCATCGAGCAGAGGGCAGGGCAGGGCCTTTGTGGTTCCTCCATGAGATGGCCCAGAAACCTGCGCCCAAGGCAGGCTTCCGTGCCACCGAGGCGCCGGGGGACCCAAGCGGACTTAGACCTGCTGACCTGGCCCTGCAGGGCCCTGAGCATCCCCACCTGTGCTGTCCCGCAGCCGCCGGGTGCCCAACTCACCTGTGAACAGGGTGTGGCTGACACACTGGACACACGCTCTCGTCCCTGCTGGCCTCCAGCACGGAGTCGGGCAGCCACACAGCGGATCGACATTCCGGGAACCCCATGCAGCTGAGGTAGAACCTGGGGCGTGGGGATCAGAGTCAGAAAGGCCATGGGGACAAGAACAGTCCTAAGCTGTCACCCATCTAGCAAGAAAACCTTTTCTTCTTTTGCAGAACACAGAGTTTACGCAAAGTCCCGCAGAGGCCAAAGTGCCTTCTACAACATGAACAGAGCCTGCAGAAGAGACAGAGTCGTCATAAAATAGCCTGAAGCCCTGGCCAGTGAGGCTCAGCTGGCAGAGCACTATCCTGCGCACCGAAAGGTCGCAGGTTTGATTCCCAGTCAGGACTTATACCCAGGCTGTGGGCTGGATCCCTGGTTGGGGCTCATACAGGAGGCGGTGGCTGGTCGTTTCTCTCACATTGATGTTTTTCTCTCTCTCCACCCCTTTGTCTCTCTCTAAAGTCAATAAAAATGTGTTTTTAAAGATAGCTTCAACTCCACTCTCTCCACGTCACAGGCCACCAGGTGGGCCATGGGATGTGCCGCGCCCCGTCACACCTGGGCCTGTGGCGCTGCCATCGAAGGACACTCTGTCACCGTGAGAAGGCGCCTGCTGCCCTGGTGTCTCCCAGCAGGTGTGAGAGTTGCATGCACAGCCCCAGCCAACAAGGCAGCGGGCCCGGGCCCAGGCCCAGGCCCAGGAAGAGGCCTGTGCCCGGAAGCCCCGGCCCTGAATGCAGGGCCGCCCCAGGTAAAGGAGACAGGGCTCCAGGCCGCTGCCCAGCTCGAGGAGCCAGCATCACAGGAATAAGGAACCCTAAAGCTGAAGCGCCCCGTGCCCCCAGATGGAGGGCAGGCTGGCATAAGGACCTGGGCTGCCAGGAAACGCCTCCTGCTGACCAAAGACATTCCCTCGTCTGGAGGACACTTAAATAGACAGTCGCTGGTGACGACACCATCTGGAAAAGCTAGCCCGCCCTTATTTCCCACATCCCTAAAAAGCAAATCGGCTCCAGCCGACTCTTTCTATGTGAAAACAACCGCCCACTTGACGAGACGCGACCGCAGCACCAAGTCCGAGGGCCTGCTCCCCTCGCTCCGCGCCACGTGCTCCCAGCTCCCACTGGGCTAGGGGCAGCCTGGAGCCTGCCCGGGATACTGTCGGGAGTTGGAGCCAGGACTAGAGCCCATCTGTCTGGCGAGCCTTGACTCCTGACACCGCGCCATACCTCTTTGGGCCAACACTTCTCAGTGCCGTCCAGTCAGGACACTGCAGGGCGGACCAGCCTATATGCACACAATTCCCAGTGTCCTTTGAGCATGCCCAGGCCAGGACATACAAACACACCCAAACGCCAATTATTCAAACAGTAAATCTCCAAACCCAGAATGGAAACGATCAGATGACCCCGGAATGGTCAATCTCAGGACTCTCCAGACCCAGCGGGGGGACCCAAGGACGAAGAGCTCAGAGCTGACACCAGAGCAAGTGTTCTTTCCCTTCACAGCCCCACAGTGCCTAACCCGCCTGCCTGCTGGTGACAAAGAAATACCACCGATGGTGTTCACTAAGTGCCACACATGGCCACTGGGCACTGGCCTAAGCCCGCGGTGGCAATGGCACATGTGGGGGCTGGCCCACACCTGAGGGCCAGGGAGACTACCTGCTCACGTGGCAGCAGAGGCGATCAGAGCTGCAGCCAGGGGGCTGGCAGAACGGAGAAGGGCTGTGAAGGCCCAGGTTCAAGTCCTGCCTCTGCAGCGCCCCAGGTGGCCTGCTGTAGACCGGCCTCCTCAGCCTGCGAGGCCTTAGCCTCACTCCTTAGGAAGCTGGGGTGCACCTGCCCCGTAGGGTAGTTATGGAGCCAAGTACGAGAATGTCTGCCGAGCAGCCTGTACCACACCAGCCACAGGGATGACACACGATGAATGACGGCGGCCACCGTCCGCCACTCCCGCAGTGAGCTCCCCTGGCACCCCAAGCCTCGGGGTGAACTGCCCACTCTGGACGAATGCACTGGAAGTGAAGAGGGACTTAGCTGCTCAGACCCAGTTCAGAACCACACGAGGAGCAGCAGCGCTACCGAGTCGGACCATCAGGCTCCGAGGCCGTGCCTCTTCCCGCGGAGCCCTCCCCTCCCCTCTGCCGTGGGGCACACAGACAAGCGTGGGCTCAGAGCGCCAGGCAACCTGCTCTGGCACACAGCTGGCCCCAGGGCTCAGGCTGCCCACTCTGCTCAGGCCAACGGGCCAGGTACTGTCCTGGGAGATGAGCGCCACCCCAGCCCCACCTCTGAGCGCATAGCGCTCCTCGTGCGGGCTGGCGACAGCAGGCCTTGCAATGACACGGTGCGACGATGGGCAGAGCTAGGCGGGCAGAGGGCACGCGCTGGGCACTGACCCGCCACTCTTCTTGGTCTTGAGCACCATGTCCTTGTTGCACTGTGGGCACTTCCTGATGGGATCTGACACAGGCGGGTAGATGGCTTCTTGCTGGGGCAACGCTGTGCCTTCCCCAAAATATTGGGACAAGGCCTCGTCCAGCCTGAAGAAACAGCAAAGCAAGCGCAACATTCGTGTGCGACCCGGAGGTCAGTGGGCTGGTCAGCCCTGGCCTGAGGCGAACGGGGCAGACGGGACCGCACTGGCTAAGCAGCCCCCAGGAGGGCCCAACTGCACAGAAGGCATTCCTCACGTCCAACACACCACCCCGGCCCACGCACACTCCTGCAGTGCCTGTCAGGGTCCAAGCCGAAACCAGCTGGTGCGTTTTCAAGTCGGCACGAGGCAGGAAACACGTCTACCTAAACGCCACAGGCTGCTTGCGGAGCTGCCGCCTCCCAGTGCCCAGAGAGAGACGGGCCACACACCAGCACTGGCTTCACTGACCCGCGGCTGCGCTGCCCACTAAGTCGGGACGATTAAAATCGAGAGAATGGCTTTCACCACAGTCCAGAATAACTGGATCCGGCCTTTCTACTTACTGTTTCTATACTAACTGAGCTCTATGGAAAGAACCAGACTCAGGAGGAAAACCTGAAGGGCAGGGTTACGAGGAACACCCGCCGTCTGCCGTATCACCCCAAGAACTCCCACTTCTTAAGGCAGCGGCAGGGCCCGGGCCCAGGGCTGGAGCACACACTGCGGAGGGCGGGCCCAGCACGCACTTCTTAGCTTTGGCCACTGCCTCGACGAACACCTGCTTGTACTTCTGGATCTGCTGCCTGAGAACCACAGACTTCTCCTTCTTTCCCTCACAGATGAGCTTCAGGTTGGCTTCCAGCTCGGCGCGGAGGTCCGGCTTGGACATCGCGTGGCCCATGGAGTCATAGCCTGCAGGGAGGAGCAGGGTTCTGTGCGGCGGGACCACAGCTTGGACACCCCGGCACCAGCCACCCAGCTGCCCTCCTTACCTTCCACAAGCCCCATGCCCAGGTGCCCAGGAAGGAACCGCTTGTCTGGGGTGAGCCCCACGTACATCCGGGCTTTGATGGTCTCGATGTGCTCGGCATGAGTAGCATCAGTACCTGAAAGCAATTCGGTCACTCAGGTGAGCCCCTCCTCTGCCCGGATGGCCTGTTCTCAGTGCCACCTCCACTCGCCAACTGGCCACAGGAAACCACTGGCCACCTGGCCTCTTCCTCACATCACAGCTAGAGCTATCTGCTCAGCTCTGAAGTCCCACCTATAAACCCTTCCCCTCAGCCCCTGCCCAGAGCCACAGCCGAGCCCGCGTTCCTGCCTCTGCACCACCACGTCGTCTCCTGAGAGGGTCAGACACAGTTACCACATGGCCCAGCCATCAACTCGTAGGTGTATACTCAAGAGAATCGAAAACAGGTCTTCACAAAAACTGGTACAGAAATGTCCACTACAGCATTTGTAACAACCCAAATGTCCACCAATATAACACTGATCAAATGGGAACTGTATTCGGTAATAAACAGGAACAAGGTGCAGACACTACGTGGATGAACAGAGAAAACGTGCTAAGAGAAAGAGCCGGTTCCAGAAGGACACAGTGTTGGATTCCATCATGGGACATGTCCTTGTCAGAAAGCCAGTGGGCCAAGGGCTGCGGATGGGAGAAGGGAACGGAGTGACTGCACACGGGCACGGCCTCTTTCTGAGGTGTTGAACACGTCTGATTCGCAGTGACAGCTGCAGTTTTGTGAATATCCTAAGCACTGAACTGTACATCTTATTAACATTTTCTTAGTGTAGTTGTACATTGCTTCTTTCCTTAGAACTGTAGATGGGCTCTGCAGACCACGGGCCAACACCAAGCCCCTCAGTGGGGCACGGCTCCAGTCATCTTCCTGGCCTCGTTTCTGTGACCTCCTCCAGCCCCCAGACCCGTCCTTCCTGTATGGCTAACCTTGCCTTCATTCACCAGAAATCCTTCCTGTGAGGTTGCAGGTCCCAGCCTGTTCCTCCAGAACCCATCGTGTTATCTAATGTGTTGGTTTGATTCAGTTCTCCTGATAGACAAGCCCTTCAAGGGCCCGACCAGGCCTCACTCCTCTGTGTATTCAGGCCTAAGCAACCCTCACTTGCAGATATTTATCCACTGGTTTTTAGACACAGTGGGAGGGAGGGAAACTGAGAAACTTCGTAGTGAACACTTTATGGCTGCCTCCTGCATGACTCCAACCGGGGCTGGGGATTGAACCTGTACCCAGGCACATGCCCTTGACCAGAATCAAACCCACGACCCTTTGGGCCAAGGCGCTAACCACTGAGAAAACTGGCCAGGGTGGCCTCATTCTTTTTTAATGAATAAATCATGGGGGATGAACTATCTCTAATTTTACCTTAAAGTACGGGCTTTCTGGACATTCCCGTGATGGCCAGTGGACTCCAGGTCAGGGTGTGTCTTCTGAAGTCACAGAATGACGACACACACTCTTTAGTAAGTGGCTGCACCCCGAGGACACAGCCTGCTCCTATACTGCTCAGGAGTCCCCTTCCCCTCCACTTCCTTCTGCATCGCTTGCCTTCCCGACCAGGCCCCAGAGACACTCGAGAGCCGCATGAGGACGGACGGGGCAGCCAGGCAGCTCCCTGTAGAGCCTGGGCCACAGGCCTTAGTGGGAAACAGTTCTAGCCTAGCTTTTATTTTTAAACCTAATTTCATTTTTGAAGAAATAATTTTTATTTTTCAATTACAGTTGATGTACAACATTCTATTAGTTTCAAATGTACAACCAAGTAATTAAACTTTTACATAACTTATAAAATGATGACTCCGATAAATCTAATACCCATCTTGACACCATATAAACCTACTTTTTAATTCCTAAACAATTACAATGATGGGAAATGCTTTAACAAAGATTTAAGAATGTGGCCACCCAGGGCTAATATGGTGGCCCACTGAGACCCCACAGGACCTGGCCTGTCACGAGAGGCGAGGGAAGCCACAGCCAGCAGCAGAAAACGGTATCCCCAGATACCGTGGGCGCCGCCACACCCACGCCAGTGTCCACGTGGGGCTCAGGCTGCCGACCCGATACTTCAAAAGATGAGAAACAGATTTTCTCAAGTTGTGGAATTTCTCAAGTTTTACTTGTTGGTACCTTATTTAACAAAAACAAAAACAAGTCCCAGCGTGGGCCAATAATACTGGGTGTACGGACAGCCATCGCTCCCAGCTGAGACGTGTGGGAACGCGTCTTCCCGGGCACACCTCACTCTCCCACTCCACAGGCAAGACCCTTGTCAGCGTAAACATGACAGCTCTCTAGGGTCTCAGATAATGGTCAGCATTTTTTTTTTTTTTTTAGCAATAAAGCATTTTCTAATTAAAGTATATACACAGTTTTTTCATACACTGAATAGACGACAATATAATGTAAACCTAACTTCTGTGTGGGCTGGGAAACCACAAAGGCCGTAACTCTCTTTACCGTGGTGTCCAGAACCGACCAGCAGTCACTTGGGGTTCAGTGTACGGACAGCACCGCAGCGGTCAGAGCACTGGCTGCAGAGTTACCTGGACCTGTGGAGTGACTCACACACTATGACCCCAGGGTAGGTCCTGCACCTCTCTGAGCCCCTTCGGCTGTGTGACCCCAGGGTAGGTCCTGCACCTCTCTGAGCCCCTTCGGCTGTGTGACCCCAGGGTAGGTCCTGCACCTCTCTGAGCCCCTTCGGCTGTGTGACCCCAGGGTAGGTCCTGCACCTCTCTGAGCCCCTTGGGCTGTGTTACCCCAGGGTAAGTCCTGCACCTCTCTGAGCCCCTTCGACTGTGAAGTAGGGTCCATAAGGTAATACCACGTCAGAGCTGCTGTGCTTGAGAGCTGCTTGTTACCACGACGATGAGCTACTGACCAATGCCGTGCTTCTCCATGAGGGCAATGAGGTCGGCTTCAGTGAGCAGCTGCGGCGGGCTGGTCTCCCCGTCCACCATCTCCACAGTGCTGGGCTGAAAGTGAGAGCCTCTCTCGTAGACCGGGAGGGTCTGCAGAGAGAGAAGAGTCCGTCAAGTCATTCTGCCATGGCACTCAGGCAAAGGACAGCGTCCAGTCCCAAGAGCACGCTCTGGTCCATGCAGTGTCCCCAGGGTTGGGAACACTGTTGCTCCCTTCCCCCTGAAGCCCTGGCTGAGACATGGATTCGGACATCTGACTGCTCCTATGATTGATCACCTTGTCACTCCAGCGATCATACGGGTACACATCTAGATAGTTTCGGGCCAAAATAACGAGACCATGGGCCACGAAGCGTTCCTGAGAGATGTCAATCTCCACGGTAGTCTCCTGCCCTTGGGCATCCTGGGAGCAGCAAGCTAGGAAGTGGCGAACAATAAATTCGTACAGTCGCTGTTCATCTCCCTGTGAAGAAAAGAAAGCCTGAAACTCCCTCCGGAATCACCCCGCTGACGGTCTCAGCATCACTGGCGGGCTCCCGATGGGCTACCTCCCAGTGCGAAGGTCTGCACGGAACAGGGCACCCACTCCTGCACCCTGCACTGACGCGAAGTGCGGCAATGCCCGCGTGCCTATGGGTTTAGGCCGATAGGTCACAGCTCGAATCAGGCAAAGACAGGCAAGGGAGGCACGCGGCCCTCAAGACTGGGTAGTAATTCATCTGACACAAACCCAACCTCAGTAGAAAAACAGGGTGAAAGGATGAGAAGCCAAGACCCCTGTACGTAAGGTGTACAGTGAGTATGCATCCGGCAGCCTTGGGCCAACTTCATGGACACAGGGCTGCGACTTTCTACCAGCTCAGTAGCTAAGCATTTGGTGAGGCTCGACTGGTCAAAGGCACAGATGTTCATTCTCGTACGCATTAGTGTTCCTTCTAAGAATGTATTAAAAGAGAATAATGAGGAATCTGCACCAATATTTATGCATACAAATGTTAACTAGTATATCATATATCAAAAAGTTGGAAACAAAATCCTTCAAAACAAACATGGCAAAATAAATATAATGCATCTATACAATCATTAAATATACTTTACATTTTTTTTTTTTTAATTCTCACCTGAGGACATTTTTTCATTTTTATTTCAGATAGAGTGGGAGGGAGAGAGAGGAAGAGAGAGAGAGAGAAACATCGACGTGAAAGGGACACATCGAGTGGCTGCCACCTGCACAACCCAACCAGGGCTGGGGACAAACTGCAACCGAGGTACATGCCCTTAGTGGGAACCGAACCCGGGTCTCTCTGGACCGCAGGCTGATGCTCTAACCACCGAGCCAAATCGGCCAAGGCTTAAATATACTTTAAAATATCTCAGGCCTGGCCAGTGTGGCTCAGTGGACTGAGCGTCACCCCATGGACTGAGAGGTCACTGGTTCAATTCTCAGTTAGGGCACATGCCCAGGCTATGGGCTCGATCCCCAGTGGGGGGTGTGCAGGAGGCGGCCGATCAATGTTTCTCTCTTACATTGGTGCTTCTCTCTCTCTCTCTCCCTTTTCTCCTCTCTAAAAGCATGAATAACAACATATTTTAAAGAATTAAAATATTTTAGCATATGGGAAAATAGAAAATGGAACAAAGTAGTTTATGAAACCATAATTTAAGATTACAATATTTTTTTAGAGGGAGAGAGAGAGAAACATGATTGGCCGCCTCCTGCACGCCCTGCACCAGGGATGGCGCCTACAAATCGGGCAGGTGCCCAGACCAGGAATCGAATCAGCACCGCTCAGTCCAGGGGTGACGCTCCATCCACTGAGCCACACTGGTCGAGCTAAGGTTACAATTTTAATGTAAGGGTATTACATACATGCATAGAAAAAAAGTGGTTCTCAGCTGGAGGTAAGATTAGAGGCAATTTTTTTTCTTCCTTACAACCTTTTGTATTTTCTAAATTGTCTAAAATGAACATGTATTACTTTTAAAATCAGAAAGAATAATATGGAAGGAGGAGGGAGGGGGAGGGGGAGGAGGAGGAGGGGAGGAGGAGGAGGAGGAGGAGGGGAGGAGAGGGAGAGGAGGAGGGGAGGAAGAGGAAGAGAGGAGGAGGAGAGGAGGAGGGGGAGAGGAAGAAGAGAGAGGAGCTGGCAGAGTGGGAAGTGGGTGGGACTGGGTAGAGAGCAGGACCCACCATGGGGGGTCTTCCATATAGAAACAGGCAGATTGTGAAATAAGAGAATTTTGACACTGACATTTTTTTTCTGAAATGGAAGAAATATTTCAAAATCACTCCGTTCTGACACTGAGAGTCCACCATGGGAAATTCCAGTCCTGCACTGACCCTCACCTCCCTCTGGGCTCCAGCAGGCAGCAGAGTTGGGGACACCAACCTGCAAGCTGCTCGTGTATTTGGTGGGGTGGATGGGAGGGTGAGCCTGGTCCGACTTGCTCCCGTTGCGGGGGGTGGGGCCGCCCCGCTCCAGAATGCTCTGGGCGAAGGGCCCCCAGCCTGGATCCGCGGTCTGCTGTTCCACCAGTGCTGTCAGGTTCAAGTCTCTGGGGAAAATGTTTGTTTCAGTTCTGGGATAGCTGATGTACCTTAAATGAAGGCAAACACACAGAACAAGAAATTGGTCTATGAACAACTGAATTAGATGAAAAACACCTGGTGACACCTGTTGTCGTCCATCTGATCGAGCCACTTAAACGAAGGAACCCTGATGGCCCAGTGATAGAAGCCCCGAGATGCGACGCGGCTGGACGGTGCAGGGCGCCCTGCTCCCTCCTCTCCCAGCACAGAAACAGTGGGGCCGCCCCATCAGCTACTGTGGGGACCCTACACATGACCGAAATTCTTGTTAGCCACCTAAACACTATTGAGATTGTCTGCGTTCCGTTTTTCATACAAATCTCCAAACCCAGCATGAACTCCGCACGGAAGCACGTCCCCACTCGGACGGCCGACACTGCAAGCATACTGCACTCAGCTGCAGTGTGGCTGCCACGCTGGTCTGCGCAGCTCATGCCATCCCTGGAAGGCGCTGGGTGCACAGGACCCTCACGCAGAAGTTACGGCAGAACCACTCCCGAAGGTGAGGTGCTGCCTGCCACCGGCCAGGGTCTTAGGGTCAAAAATTTGAGAAGCCCTGCTCTAGGGTAGGCTCAAAAGCAGATATTCAAATCTTTACAGAGGTTATGCAAAAACATTAGTAAAAAGAACTACTCCAATTACAGGGCCCTGAGGACTGGCTGAGGGAGCAAGCCTGGGGTTCGAATTTACTCTATGGCCGTATTTTAGAAAAGATTTTGAAATGACTTTTCCATTATCAGAAACGAGAAGTCAGCGTCAACATTGTTCCACTTCGGAGCGCAGGCGACAGTGTGACAGTCGGTGGTACCATACACTCTACTTCTGAAATACTTCGCGCTGAAAACGACGCACCACACTCCATACCCACGTGCAAAGCACTTACCCCTGAGTGTAGAGCTTCTCGGCAATCCTCATGGTTTCCTTAGCATTTATTCTCAGCTTCCGGGAGGCCAGCTTCTCGAGCTCCTGTTAAATATCAGCAGGCAGGTTAGGGTCCAGTGTGGGTCAGAGGGCACAACACAACCACACAGCTGTCCTCACAACTTTCTGGCCATTGTTGCGGCCGCTGGCACCGGAGGGAGACCTGTCTGAGAACACGATTCCGGGCCTGCCAGGCAGAGCCAGATCCCACTCGTGATTCTCAGACCCCATGTGCAGAAGCCAGTGTCCTGGGAAACAGATTCCTGGGCCCTGAGCACAAGGGACTCGACAGGAGGACAGGGAGAGGCCGGAAATCTGAATTTTTAAAAAACCCTCACCCAAGGATGTGATTTTATTAATTTAGAGAGAGGAGAAGGAAGAGAGAGAAACATCTATCAGTTGCCTCCTGTGGGCACCATGACAGGGAATCGAACCCGCAACCTTTTGACATATGAGATGACGCTCTAACCAACTGAGCCACCTGGCCTGGACAGGGAACCTGCGCTTTCTAATAAGCACCTAGTGCACTGACTCTAGCACAGGCAGTCTGAGAACCACACTTTGGGAATACCATTCGAGTCCCAGTCAACTCCCCTGATGAACGCCCTTCTTCCCGGCCTCTTGGGAGACAATCGGCTGCCCTTTCCCTGTGGGGACATTCCAACAACGCTCAGCGACATGCCGAAGCGTATTCCACCAGCGAGGAAGGAAACACGTGGGCCCACGTATGACATCAGTCCCCACCTCTCCCCACCTCAGCACACACACAGCGTTGCGCCGATGCTCCCGAGCCCCGCGTCTGCATGGCCACCCTCCGGGACAGCCCACAGAACTGTCCTCCGACTTCCTGCACAGAGGGACTAGGAAGGGCACCGCAACGTGTCTACTCAGACCTGTGTCCCATGGCAAGGGTCTTAGGGTCAAAAATTTGAGAAGCCCTGCTCTAGGGTAGGCTCAAAAGCAGATATTCAAATCTTTACAGAGGTTATGCAAAAACATTAGTAAAAAGAACTACTCCAATTACAGCTGTAAAAATAAGCATATGAAAATGACAAAGAGAAGACATCAAGGTTACATCAGTGATTACATAAGAACGGTGAAGTGATGGATGATTCACCCTCCCTCTTTCCTGTTCCCCAAACTCCACACATCGCAGTTATACTGCACTAATAGCTCAAGAAGAAAAAGCGTGGAGGCCAAGCAGGCCTGTTTCGGGGTGTGTTTTCTCCAAGTGCTTTCCTACATGGCCCCGTGAAGAGTGATGTCACCGGGCCATCGTTTGCAGCAGAACCCTGGTCTCCAAGACAGAAAGTCAGGGGTCAGCACATTCCCTCAGAACATACCACAGTGTCCAAAGCTTGAGGCCTCCACTTGCTCTTTGCCTTAGAACTGACCTCCACCACAGTTGCCATGGGGTCCTAGAAAGCCAAGAAAAGCAGAGGCCACTTTACCTGCTGGGGCCTCTCCTCCCGCTTTCCTGCAACCGCAGACTCGCCGTCCTGCTTGCGCACCGTCAGCAGAGGCCCTGAGCCATCCCGTGACAGCGCTCCATGAACACCGGCCTGCAGCCCAGCGTATGATGGGCGCCACCACCCCTCCCCACCCCAACGAGACCCGTGGGGCAATTTCATCAGCCCTGAGGGGTCTGCTCTGGAGACTCTGAAATACAACAGCATACACATCTCCTAAGTGTAATTTCCTATCTAACACACGTGATGTTACTGTTTCTTTTTAAATTCTTGATAATACTGAGTTAGAAACAGGAGAAATCAAACAATACAAGCTGAAGAATTCTAATCTTAAGGCCAACTTCACACTTTTAAGACTTCGAATGGACAAAGAACTGAGCTTAAGTGATCTGTAAATAAGAGCACTTGTACATTGAAACCCAAATGTCTCTTCCCAGACTGGGACGGTGCTCTCGGCAAGGAGCTCCAGGCCCCCACTGCTGTTTGGCACCACACTCTGATACAGCAGTGATGGGCAGGGCTTTTCACGGAACAGGCAAATGTGGACAGACAGGACTCCCGGAGGTCCGCGGGAGCTGGAGTCAGACACACTGGGACACAGTCCCGTCAGTTTCTCCAGCTTCCTCATCTGTGAAATGGGACAGCACCACCTGCACGGCATGAGTCTGGAGAAAGTCTGTGTAAACACACAGTGTGTCTGGCCGCAGCAGGTGCTCGGCAGTCATTACCTCCCCTTCGCAAACGAAACTGCACCTGCCAGTGGGCTACAGCGAGGAGCACAGCTGACCCATGCAACTCAAGGGCGCGAGCTGTTTCAGCACCACTGTGCGCAGCCCTTGTTAATACCGGCAATCGCGCTGACCGACAGGAAGCAGTAGCACAAATGGACAATCAGTTTGACGGAGGCAACTAGGTCACTGACTGGCCTGTGGCCTGAGCTGGTCGTAGTCCTTTGCATGTGCTGCTACCCTGACCTACACACTTTCCCCAGGACCTCCTGTGGCTGCCTCCTGCTGACCACTCCAGCCTTCACTCAAATGTCACCCTGCAATGCCTTTCTTGATCGTCATGCCTAGAACAGCCCCCTTCTTGCTCCCTCTGGCCATTCTCTATTCATCCACCCTACTTTCACTTCCAGTCTTTACCATCGTGTAACATTAATTTGTTCAGCTCTTTAGATTTCATCTGACCAGTGGCAGAGAGTTGGACCAGATACTGTCCAAACTCCTTCCAGCTCCAGGAATGTAGGACCTACACTGGTCCAGCGGATCCTTGTTAACTGCTAATGACAGTACTCTGCTTCAGGGAAGGAGTTTGCTATATATTTGTTAAAATTTCTTATTTTACCTAAATGTTTCACAGATTATTTTCTTCCACAATTTTCAGTGCTGTTTTCATGGAGTTCTACTTTTAATGGTCCCCCCAAAATAATACCGAGATGCAAACCGAAAGTTACAGCTCAGTGGGAAAATGGGACAGGTTCACCGCTGCCAATAGAGAGGGAGCAACTTGGGGAACTGCAGAAGTTTTCCTAGATCACCGAGACTCTGAACTATTTCTTACCTCCATGCACAGCTGATAGAGGACGAGACAAGCCGTGTGGTTAAAGAGACGATGCCTTTTCCAATTGAACTCTACAGTGCCATCTCTGTGGTCATGAGTCACTATTGGGACACACAAACAGGAAGGCTGTGGCTCGGAGCCACGTGATGACATGTGGACACAGCAGTATTACAGGGAAACGCTAAGGAACACGAGCTAGAGAGGACCATCAAAGACACGCAGTGGATTCTGAGCATGGCAATGGGGTACAATGAAGGGCAGCAAAACTAAAAAAGCCAAACATTTAATTAGCATGACTGATGCCCCACGCTGCCCTTGGTTACTCCTGGGCCTTGGGTTCCATGCCCTGAACAACGCCTAGCCCTACCTTTAATTCTGTGGAAGACTTCGGGCACGAAGGCCTGGATGGCCTTGAACCTCTCCACCACAAAGCCCAGTGTGGGAAACTGGCAGCTGCCGTAGCTGATCAGCTGCTCTGCCAACACCTGGGGGAAAATCTTCTGCAGCCTCAGGGTCTGGAACCTCGTGAAGGCAGCTCCTGGAAAGCGAGGAAGGAAAGAGCAAGGAGCTGCACGTATAGACACACAAACCCGCTGTTGGTTCCGTAACTCGTGCCCAACAGCACGCAGGCAATCAAAGAGCTCAAGTGGCTCCTCACCGATCCGGAGGTCCAGCTCTTGCCTCACGTCCACAGCGTCGCTCACCCTCTGGTCGGGCTCGGCCAGGTGTTCACAGGCCATCCTGATGGCTCGGGGGGTGATCTCTGAGAAACGGGCCCTCAACACCTGCAGACTGGGCTTCACTGAAGAACAGAAAGAATCGCCAAGGTCAAAGTCACACTGCCCTCCCGTCCTAAAGGGTGACTTTCCGAACCGCCTGAAGCCGAGGCATGCCCTGTCACTGATGCGGCTCGATGGGCAGTGTGCTCGCTAGGAGGGCCGCTTCATCACACCCACCAAACTGCGTGCTGTCAGACAACGGACTGCATTCAGCTGTCCACTAAACTCTCTTGGTGAGCCTTTCAAGAAAAGGAAATGTTAACTAAAAGGTCCCATGGGGGAATTTTATGGCCTGTCATGTCCTGAAATAACATGGAACGTATATGCTGTCCCTAAAAGTTAATGCATTTGAGTCCCAGGAGTCTCCCTGACTGGGGTGGCTCAGCTGGCTAAGGCGCTGTCCCATACACTGAAAGGTTGTGGGTTCGATTCGCAGTCAGGGCACATACCCAGGTTGCCAGTTTGATCCCTAGTCAGGGCATGTACGGGAGGCAACAGATCGATGTTTCTCTTGCTCTCTCCCCCTTCCTCTCTCTCTAAAAAACCCCCACAATACCCTATAATGAATAAAACAAAAATAAACTTAAGCAAAAAAATAAATACAAAAATCCCAAGAGTCGTTACAGCTTGAAACTCAAAAACACACAGGGGAAACAGCAACCCCTCCCCTCTGAAGCCCAAGAATGGCCTACACACCACTTCCTCTAAGTTATCTGAAATCATTAACCCTGTTGGTGTCATTTAAATTCACTTCAACAGTTATTAATTAATGTTCAGGAGGTAAAATTAATATAGGAAATTTAAAAAATGGAATCTTGCACACTTGAAACTTACATAATGTTTTTTGTTTGTTTGTTTTTTTATCCTCACCTGAGGACATTTTTCCATTTTTTGTTCAGATAGAGTGGGAGGGAGGGAGAGAGAAACATTGACATGAAAGGGACACATGGAGTGGCTGCCACCTGCACGACCAACCAGGGCCAGGGACAAACTGCAACCGAGGTACATGCCCTTAGCAGGAACCAAACCTGGGTCTCTCTGGACCGCAGGCCAATGCTCTAACCACTGAGCCAAACCAGCCAGGGTGAAACTTACATAATGTTATTAACCAGTGTTACCCCAACAAATTTAATTTTAAAATTGATTTCAGAGAGAAAAACATCCAGCTGTTGTTCCACTTACTTATGCATTCATTGGTGGCTTCTTGTATGCGCCCTGACCAGGGATCGAACATGCAACCTTGTAGAAATTGGGATGACACTCGAACCAACTAAGCTCCCTGGCCAGGCCCAATAAATATTATTTTTTAAAAAAGGAAAAAGAGCCCTGGCCGGTTTGACTCAGCGGTTGAAGCATGGGCCTGCAGACTAGAGTCCCAGGTTCGGTTCCCGCTAGGGGCACGTACCAAAAAAAAACACAACAAAAAAGAAAAAAGATGCCCTGGCTGGTATGGCTCATGGGTTTGACTCCCAGCTCTGGTCTGGGTTTGTATGGAGAGCAACCAATCGATGTGTCTCTCTCACATCAGTGTTCATCCCCGCGTACCCCCTCTTCTAAAAATTAATGGAAAAATATCCTCAGGTGAGGATTAACAAAATAAATAAATAAATATTAATTAATTAATTTAAAAAAGAAAAAGAGCCCTGGCTGGTGTGGCTCAGTTGGCGGAGTGTTGACTGTGCACTAAAAGGTTGCCAGTTCGATTCCGAGTCACAGCACATACCCAGGTTATGGGTTTGTTCCCTGGTTGGGGTGCATGTGAGAGGCAACTGATCAATGTCTGTCTCTCTTCCTCTCCCTTGAAAAGAATCAATAAGAACATATTAAAAGAAAGAAAGAAAAAATAGAACATAAAATCCCTGTTCTCAAAATGCTGGCCGAACACATGTAAGTCCTGGGTTACAGGGTCTCTGCCACTGTGACTCATTCGGTCCTCATGACTCTGGGACCTGTCAGACGGCTCCGACTTTCCAGACGAGGAAGCCGAGGCTCCCAAGCGCTCGGTGACTTGCTCCAGCACACACAGCCGGCGAGAATGGCAGGTGGACTCGGAGGAAGAGGCCAGGCAGAGGAACCCCAGCACAGCCACTCACACAGACATGCAAGAGGACCATCTAGCCATGTGGTCAAAGCACAGACTCAGGAGTGGCATCACTTACCAGCCTTGCAAACGTGGATAATCTCAAACCCGATGTTTTCACCTTCTCTGTCACAGTCAGTCCAGATCACCAGAGCCTGGCACTGCCGAGTCTCTCGTTCCAGAGTTCTCTGACGTTCGGGGGGGGGGGGAAAGCAGCAGTGAGAGCCCAGCCTGCAGAGCGATCCCTTATGCTCCACACGCAACAGATCTGCCTGAACACTAGCAACGCTCTCGGAACATGCCAACTTGGCGGACAGGGAGCCGGGAAACTCTTCTCCCCAGTTCTGGGGACGGTGAGGGAGAAACCAAAAATCCTCCAGCTTAGAATCACGGACTCATAATGAGCTGCTAGAAGACTGGGTTTCACGTAACTGTACCAGCATGAGGACATCTCAAACTCAGCTAACACACACGTATACCTCTGGTGGGTCTGGCTATGTTCTGATTTAAAAAAACATAAACCCTAATTGAGTTTCACTGGACGAAACACAGGTGCTCTGACTGCCCGAAAGCTCCTAATTTACTGTCGAATGACCACTTATATACTTCGTAGTCTCTGCACTCTAACGAGAGATGGGGTGGGAGCTAAAAGGAATGATTTAACAATATTTATTCCTAGAGTATTTAAACAACTGCTATTCATAAAAAGGCTTACTTCGGTCCCTTGGCCACTTAGTTTACGTAGCCTCCTCTTGGGACTAGTTTTTTAAACCATGGATCATGGCACTTATTTTGGTGGCAAACCTTACCTCTGAATTCTAATGCATTCAAAATACAGAAACCACTCAGTTTAATATTTCTGTGGCTGTTCAACCCCAGTGCCGCGCTTTCCAAAAGGCCCTACCTTGATGTCCACAAAGTTCTCTGGGCAATACTTCTCAATTTCTGCTTCAAAGAGGACAAGGGGATTGCAGCTCTGCCTAGAAAAGGAATGAACACAAAGAACCCCACCTCAGCGTGATGGACAGTCCTCCACTTTAGAAAACCGTGTCCCCATGCACTCATGGATGGGCCCCAGCAGAACAAGTCCTGCATGAAAATGCCAGAGGGTTAGAGCGAGGCTCCGGGCCTCTGCACGACGCCCCCCGCCCCACCCTCCCGTGACGACCAGCAGGAGCTGCTGGAGACCACACACAGCTCCAGACTTCCACTGGAGGCAGAGGGAGGCCAGCAGTCACGCAGAGGGCCCTCATCTGACCACACTGGCACTCTGATCTCCTACTTCTGGCCTCCATAACTGGGGAAAGGAAATTTGTTGTTTATGAACCAACTAGTCCGTGGTATTTAGTTACAGCAGCCTGAACAGATTCAGAGTCATCTTAGTATTACAGGTACACAGTAAGGCCAACGTGCCTCAAAATTCCCGTAATATTTCATAACTTCCTGTGATCATCTGAAAGTTACCCCTCCTTCCCGGGGATTGTACTGACCATTTACGAAACTGCATCTTGAAATCATGAGCCAGCAAATGTCCAGAAACCGAAGTCATTATCATGGTAACATTCTAAATGGTAACAAAATTTGAGTTAGTCTTTTAGCAACTATACTTTGCTAAATCATTCAAGTAAAAGGGAAAAATCTCTACTAAAACAAACAAAAAAAGGGGTTGTGGGGGAGAGAGGAATGACTAAGTGGTGCACAGAGGACTTTTACAGCAGTGAAAATACTCTATATTATGATGATGTACGTGTGTTTACATGTGCATTTGTCTAAGCCCCTAGAAAGGACGAAACAGAGTGAACCCTACGTAAGCTATGGACTCTGGCACTATGACGTGTCAAGGTAGGTCCAACAATGGACCACTGCAATGAGGGATGTTGGTAATGGGGAGAATATGTGTGTGGGGGGCAGAGGGTATGTAGGAACTCTCTGTGCCTTCCCCTCAATTTTGCTGTGAACCTGAAATTGCTCTTAAAAAATAAACTTTATAAAACAACAACGACCAAAAACTCCATGTGATTGGGAAGAAATATAGCTCTTTAAAGCCAAAAGCCATAGCAACACAATCACCATTCTAGTTCTAGTACCATGATGCTTTTTGTAACATTTAAAATTTCCTCAAACTACTACTGTACATTAGCTTCTTTCTTCTTATAAAGAGCTGAGATGGGACCATATTTTATTAAAAAGACACTTCCTTACAAATTATAAAATGATCACCTGTAACCAGGGATCTTAAAAGACAGTGACATATTCTACAATGGTCAAGCTGACTAACTCCACTTGATTAAATAATTCTAAAATACAAGCAGCCCTGGCCAGTTTGGTTCAGCAGTTAGAGCGTCAGCCCACGAACCAGAGGCCCAGATTCGGTTCCCCCTTAGGCAGTGGTTCTCAACCTTCCTAATGCCACGACCCTTTAATACAGTTCCTCATGTTGTGGGGACCACCAACCATAAAATTATTTTCGTTGCTACTTCATAACTGTAATTTTGCTACTGTTAATGAATCACCATCGGAAATATGTGTTTTCCGATGGCCTTAGGTGACCTCTGTGAAAGGGTCGGTCGACCCCCAAAGGGGTCGCGACCCACAGGTTGAGAACAGCTGCCCTAAGGGCACGTACCTTGGTGCAGTTTGGCCCCGCCCTGGTTGGGGATGTGTGAGTGGCAACCACTCGATGTGCCTCTTTCCCCATCAATGTTTCTCTCTCTTCCTCCCTTCTCTCCCTCCCGCTCTATCTGAAGATAAATGCAAAAATGTCCTCAGGTGAGGATTAAATAAATAAATAAAATAAAATAAATGACAAGCAATTGAGGGAGGACGTGTAGTAAACAGCTGCTCTTTTTAGCATGATGAAAAACCCAAAGAATGTATCCCCAGGTGGCACATGACCTGAAAGCCCGCTCTAGCTGTATGATGAAAATTCTTAGCACCTACCTGGCCATACAGATGATAATCGAATTCATAGATCTTGTTGAATTTAGAAAGTCCTTCCCTCTATAAAACAAAAGAAAATACATAAACCACATAAAAAGGATTCCTCAGCATAAAGATCAAGCAAAATCCTGCTAAGTGGGAATATTAAAAGTGCAACAGTATCTCCTATAAAGACAAGGCTAAGTTACTAACACCAGTTATTAGTTAAGTAGTCCCTCAAAACACATTCACAAGCCTACCTGACAGAGCCCATGGCGTTTTTATGCTGGAAGGTAACCTGAGGTCAGCTAATACAACATCTTTTTTTTCTTCCCTTTTTTATTGATTTGAGAGAGAGAGAGAGAGAGAGAGAGAGAGAAACATCGATGAGAGAGAACACTGACTGCCTCCTGCACACCCCCCACTGGGGATCGGGCCCACAACCTGAACATGTTCCCAGGAATGGAACCGGCGACACCTTGGTGCAGGGCTGACGCTCAACCACCGAGCCACATCGGCCAGACCAGCATCTTTTTATAGATGAGAATGGACTTGTCCAAGGTCACAGGACAAATGAATGGCAGAGAAAGGGTAAGGGCATAACTCTTCTGACTGTCCCTTTCCTCTCCACACATTTCCACTTCCTGGCTATATGACTGTACCAATAAACTGAGTGTGGGCACATCATTCACCTTTCTGAACCCCGGTTTATTGTTCAGTGACGTTATCTCCAAGGTCCCTCTGGCCCTGACCCCATGGACATGGTGAGGCCCGGTCAGGACTGAAGTCAGTCCACACACCACTTCCTCAGCTGCACTTCCAGAGGCGTAAGACACTCTTTACGTAGATCCTACCTTCTTCCACCAACGGGTGAAAAGTACAGCCGACCCCTGAACAAGACAGGGGTCAGAGCACCAACCCCTACATAGTAAAAAAAATCCACATATAACCTTTTAAAAAAATGTTCACCAAGGATGTTTTTATTGATTTTGAGAGTGAAAGAGAGGGAGAGAGAAACATCGAGGTGCTAGAGCAATATTAATCAGTTGCCTCCTGCATGCGCCCCAACTGGGAACTGAACCCGCAACCTTTTGATGCACAGCCAACGCTCCAACCGACTGAGCCACCCGACCAGGGCTGCATGCAACTTTTGGTTCCCCAGAACTTAACTACTAGCAGCCTACTGACCAGAAGGCCTCACTGCTCACCCGAACAGTCAGCACGTATTTACATGTAACATGTATTCTATACTATACTCTTTTTCTTTTTCATCCTCACCCGAGGACATTTCTGCATTTATCTTCAGATAGAGTGGGAAGGAGAGAGGGAGGAAGAGAGAGAAACATCTATGAGAGAGATCCATCAACCAGCTGCCACCCACACAACCCCAACCAGGGCCGGGATCAAACTGCAACCGAGGTACATGCCCTTAGCAGGAACCAAACCCAGGACTCTCTGGTCCGCAGGCTGATGCTCTAACCACTGAGCAAAACCGGCCAGGGCTATATTGTACTCTTATAGTAAAGTAAACCAGGGGAAAATGTTATTAAGAAAATTATAAGGAAAATAAATTTACAGTCCTGTATGTATTTACTAAAAAACTTGCATTTGTGTGGACCCACGCACTTCAAAGCCATGCTGTTCCAGGGTCAACTGCATTTATGCTTGTGAGTTTCACACCAACACAGAAGGAGACAAGAGAAAGGCAAACTGAAAACTGGGAACTTTCATTCAAGGGCCCAGAAAAATCAGTGTTGGAAAGATTCTCCCTCGGCCTCACAAATACAATTTTTCTGTGTGGAACATTGAATGAGGTTCTTTGAGGCACAATGGCAAATTTGTTTTTATTTTTAAAAGATTTTTAAATTGATTTTTCTAGAGAGAGGAAGGGAGAGGGAGAAAGAAACATCAATGTGAGAGGGAAACATCGATCAGCTGCCTCCTGCACGCCCCTTAGTGGGGATCAAGCTGCAACTGGGCATGTGCCCTAACTGGGAATTGAACCAGCAACCCTTGGGTGCATGGGATGACACCCCACCGGACAGAGCCATAATGGCAAGTTTAAAGAGGGAATTAATTTTAGTATCTGATACTTAAGAGCTCACTGCTCTAGCCCTGGCTGGTTGTGCTCAGTGGTTAGAGATTGGCTCACGGACCAATGAGTCGTGGGTTCAATTCCAGTCAAGGGCACATACCTCGGTTGCGATTCGTCCCTGGCCCCAGCTGGGGTTGTGCAGGAGGCAGCCACTCGATGTGTCTCTCTCACATCAATGTTTCTCTCTGTCTCTCTCTTCCTCTCATTCTATCTGAACTAAAATGGAAAAATGTCCTCAGGTGAGGATAAAAAAATAAAAATAAATAAATGAGTTCACTGCTCTAATGTTGCCAAGAAAAGAAACTCCCTCTATAAACTCAAATTACTAGTCAAGCCTTTTTAGTTTAGCACTCTCCCCTTATCCTCAGGGAATATATTCCAAGACCCCCAACAGACCCCTGAAACCTCGGATACTGCTGAACCCTATATATACTATCGTTTTTCCTACGTGTACACACCTTTTCCCTTAAAGGAAGCATTTTACAGATTCTCTGGGCACCGCTGAATCGCCAGCTGTTGTGTGCTGGGCCAGTTTTCAGCAGAACAGGGTTACTAACACATCCACTGTAACGCCACCACAGTCCACCTGGTGACCTGGTGAACGAAGGGCGGGCAGCACAGACAGCATGGAGAGCTGAAGGAAGGGACGACTCACAGCCACATGGGACACCGTGGGGCAGTGCAAGATTCATCGTGTTAAACTGAAAGTACAATTTAAAACTTATGAATTGTTTATTTCTGGAATTTTCCATTTAATATTTTCAGAGTGCAGTTGACCACAGGTAACAAACAATGAAAAGTGAAACCTCGGTAAGAGGAGACTACTGTAACAGAAAAGAAACGGCTTAATCAAGTTTCCACTTCTCTTTTCTTTCCCTAATTCTTTTTAAGGAAGCACTGAGGCCTTCTCAATAAAATCGTATGTGGACCCTGAAACATACAAGGTTGAGGTGCCTTGCTTACCACAAGGCTGAGTCCTGCTAACTCAACCTCTCCCCAGTCCAGCCCCAAGTGGCTCTGAGGAGCACATCAATGGCCCCTTGGGTCTCTTGGGAACACAGTCTGAAAACCACTGTTCTAATGCTCTCCAGGTAAATAATTTACCTAATAACATGTGTAACCCTAAGTTCAGGGCTTTCCTAGGCAGCCTTCTACCAACAGATAGTTTTGAGGATATAAAATGTTTTTCCTGATATTTTAAACTTTTCTCCCTGTAATTCCCGAGGACAGTACACAATCGTGTGATTCTACCTCCTGGGTGGGGGTGGGGGCGAGTTCTCAGATACTGTGGGCTGCTCCCAAATTACAGTGGAGTTTTGGAGCCTAGAGAAAGAAAACCTAGCAGACAGACCGAGCACGTAGCTTCTGTGCTCTCTTCAGTGCTGTCCACTCCACTGAGGAAGAGCCAGGTCGCACCTTCTCTAAGCACTCTGTGAAACTGATCCCACTGCTGCCACCAAATCTGTAGCAGGATTCTCTTTTAGGATTTTTTCTTCTGCCCTGGCCGGTGTGGCTCAGTGGTTGAGCATCATCCCATACACCGAGAGGTGGCTGGTTCGATTCCAGGCACGTGCCCGGGTTGTGGGCTTGATCTCCAGTAAGGGGCATGAAGGAGGCAACCGATCAATATTTTTCTCTCCCTCCTTCCTTTCTCTCTAAAATCAATAAAAACATTTTAAAAATTTTTACTAAAAAATATTTCTCATTCTGAATATGAAACTATGAAAAAATTGTGCACAGAGAAGTCCTCAAGGATCTATAAGTTATTAGCAGTGGTTACTGTGGGTGGTAGGGATGGTTTACTTGATATATATATAAGTATTCCCTGAACTATCTGCAATAATCACAACTGTTTAAGTACTACTGTTAAAGAAGAAAGGAAATCATTAATATTTTGGTGAATTTCTTTTAAATATATATGTATTTGTTTAAAACATGTTGAAAAGTCTTTTCCATAAATAACAGATGTCTAACAGCCAATCACAAGGACATATAGTTTATTTAATCAGTCTATTTCCATGACTAGTTCTTGTTATTTCAATTCCTTGCTATTATAAAGCTGCAATGGCCATCATTTGATTCTGATTTGTGCGTGTCTTAGTGCCTTCGTAAGAATTTAAGTTGCTTCAAAGGCAGAGATTATGACATCTGATGCACATTTACCATGTGATTTTCACATAGCTGGCTCTGTTTAAGGAATGAATAAATGAGAAGGTGACACACCATAGGGAAGATGGACAAATAGCCAGATAACTCGGCCCATGGTGACTGCTATCATCAAGAAACATGTAAATGCTCCTGGCCAGTGCGACTCAAAGTGGACTGAGAGTCGTCCCATGGACTGAAGGTTCCGGTTCGATTTCTGGTCAGGGCACATGCCCGGGTTTCAGGCTCGATCTCCAGTAGGGGGTGTGCAGAGGCAGTCGACTGATGTATCTCTCTCACATCGATGTTTCCATCTCTCTTTCTCTCTAAGAAGTCAATAAAAACATATTTAAAAAGAAAAGAGATTACATTTAGGTTGCCTTTTATTTTTCTTTTAAAAGATGGAGAGTTCGTCAGGAGAGAAAAAAGCAAATTACCATTCCAGTAGGAAGGATCAAGATTTGTAAAAACATGGTGAACTTTTAACTTTTAAACTGTTTCTATCATTCCCTTCTTTTCCATTCCCTCTGCTCCTACTCAATCTGCTCCAAGGGTTCTAGAGTTCAGGCCTCTGATTTCTCACACAGGGAACTCCGGCTGTCTCCCTGACTTCAGGTTTTCACTCTTTAACTCCTCTGCTGCCGGAGTGATTTTATAAAACATAAATATGACCTCAATGCCCTCCCCCCCACTTAAAACCTACCTTGCTCATATCAAATGATGCAGAAAAAGCATTTGATAAATATTCAACATCCTTCATAATAAAACCCTACAGCTAACATCAGCATAATCAATGGTAGAAAACGAAAAGCTTTCCCTCCAAGACGAGGAACAAGACAAGAATATCCATTTTAACCATTGCTATCCAAGATCACTAGATTTTAGCCAGAGCAATTAGGCAAGAAAAAGAAATAAAAATATTCACTTTGGAAGGGAAGAGGTAGAATGATCTCTATTCACAGATACCATGATCTTATAGATAGAAATGCTAAAGAAGCCACAGAAAACTACTAGTACTGACAAACAAATTCAGCAAAGTTGCAGGATATAATCTATACACACACAATAAAACCCAGTAGCGCCCGGCTGGTGTGGCTCAGTGGTTGAGCACTGACCCATGCACCAAGAGGTTGCAGGTTCGATTCCCGGTTAGGACACAATGCCCAGGTTGTGGGCTCAGTCCCCAGTGGGGGGCATGCAGGAGGCGGCCAATTGATGTCCTCTCTCTCTCTCTCAAATCAATAAAAAAAATTAAAACAAACAAAAAACAAACCCAGTAGCAATGAACAATCTGAAAAGGAAATTAAGAAAACCATTCCATTCATAATAGCACCCAAAAGCCAATAAAAATGATAACATCTTGCTGAAAAGAAATTAAACTTCAAAATAAATGGAAAGACTACTTGTGTACATAGATTAAAGATAGTATTAAGATGGTAATACTCCCTAAAGTGATCTACAGATTCAATGCAATCCTTACAAAAATCCCAATAGTCTTTTATGCAGAAATGGAAAGGCTGATCCTAAAATTCACATAGAATTGCAAGAGGCCCCAAATAGCCAAAACATTGTTTTTGAAAAAAAAAAAAAAGAGAACAAAGTGGAGGACTCACACTACCCAATTTCAAAACATATTACCAAGCTACAGTAATCAAAACAGT